AGGGATAGACAGATAATACGACGATGAATGGATAGATGGTTAGCCTAGGATCACAACTGAGGCAGGGTCTCAAAGAATCTAGAAACTTGGGGCACCACTGGGTCATAACTGATCATTTCTAGATTAACCAAGAAACATTTTGACAACCTTTCTGAAATCTTTGTTCTTGATATCCCCCTTCCTCAAATTCAGGATGGTAGTTACCTCTAGGAGTAAATAGTGTCTAATTTCTTTAAAAAAAATCTCTGAAAACAAGAATGGCACCATAGTACATTTTGACCGAGCTGGAGGATTATTGATCATTATGTTAGTTTTTGACTTTGCTAACATTTCAGGTATTTCATAATAAAAGAGAAGAAAAAAATTGCCTACTTAGGTTGAGGGGTGCCATTACTCCAGAGAGGACAGACCCTGTCCCAGGCAGTGTTTCTGGGACAAGGGGGCAGCTGAGATGATAAAGCCTGGGGCCAAGTTCCGGGGGCTGGAAGAGGGGGGGGGTCCTTTGTGGGATGAGAAGGGAGGCACCTACCATCTTCAGCGAAGTCTCCAGGAGCTCCTCCTCCGACTTCTGGCGCAGGCAGTGCACCATGACCGCCGAGGTGGTGGTTTGACAGCCGGCAAAGGTAGCGATTTGCTGCAGAAATCACAGGGGACAGCAGCATTCAAGAGCCGAGTCCCTCCTGTCAACCAGTCGATGTTCCATCCCAACCTCAACTTCTAAAGGCATCGGGGGGTGGGAGTGGGTTGCAGGCATTTCTCTGGACCAGCAGGTCTGGGCCCTGGGCCCAGTCATGCCAATTCTGCCACCTCTTTGCCAGTTTCCTTCTCTCTCTTAAAATGGCCAAAGGATCTCAACGCTGGATGTCTGCAGAAGGGCAGCATGGAGTGGGCTTTAGGGCATGGCGTCCAGAATCCCACCGTCTGGTTTCAAATCTCGGCTCATCCTCTTACTAGCCTTTGGCCTCTATCTAGTGAATCGTGCACAGTGCGGCCAGAGGAGAAGTTGAAACAGAGAGAAGAAAGCAGGCTCTTCCATGGCGGGCCGTGGAGAGCGTACATTAAGGGGAGCTTGGGGGAAGGTGCTGTGAAGAATAAAAAGTCTTAAATTCCCTTCATTGGCCAATTTCTAGTTCCTGTGTGACAGCAGAATCTGCCCCATCTCTGCCACCTGTTTCCTCTCAATAAATCCCCCCTTTCCTGACTTAAGCCTGGCCAAGTGCACTTGTTGTTTACAACCAAAGAGTTCTGGAAAACCTTCTCAAAATTCTCACTGTCTTCGTTTCCTCCCCTCCTCTCTACCAGCCAGCCCCTTTCAGCCTGGCGGCTGCCCCCACTGAGCCACAAAACAACTCTCATCAGCGGACGGGGCCCACCCACCCCCCCGCCCGCCAACCCACCCCAGATTGCACTCCCTTCTTTGGATCCCTAACAGTCTCCAGATAAAGACAAATTCTTCCCCGGGTCCCAGGCAGCAGGGCCCCTGCCAATGTCCCCAACCTCAGCTTACTCCAGGTTCCCTCTGCTCTTTCTGCTCTGGCATCATCAGCCTCTCTCTCTCTCTCTCTCTCTCTCTCTCTCTCTCTCTCTCTCTCTGACACTTCCTCCTGCCACAGGACATTTGCACACGTCGCTCCTGCTTCCTCGGACATTCATTTCTCACCAAGCAGGTTACTGCTCATCCTGAGGATTGCACATTAGTGATCACTTTCTTCAGGGAGCCTTTCCCCCTGCACCCTGGACCAAGAGCTCCTTTTAAATTCTGTCATGATGTTAATTAAGTACCTCTCCTTCCTGCTCCAGCCATGGCTGACATTGTATAACTGTGTGATTATGTAGTCGCTACTCTGTCTCCTCCATTAGAAAGGAGGCCTCACAAGGCTGCTAGGAGTCCGGCTGTATCAAAATTATTTGTTGACCGGCCAGCATGGCTCAGTGGTTGAGCGTCCACCTATGAACCAGGAGGTTACATGCCTGGGTTATAGGCTCGATCCCCAGTGTGGGGCCTGCAGAAGGTAGCCGATCAATGATTCTCTATCATCATTGATGTTTCCATCTCTCTCTATCTCTCTCTCTCTTCATCTCTGACATCAATAAAAAATACGTATATTTTTAAAAATTATTTGTGGAGGCAACGAATGAATTGACGAATAAATTCTCCAGGAACCCAGCCTAGTCACAAGGCCCTCGGGGAGAAACCACTCCAGGCCCATATGTGGCCAGGGGCAGGGTCCCCAGAACTCAGGCCCTCTGAGGGATGAGACGTGGCGACAGTCCACTCCCCACCCTCGGCCCGGCAGCCCACCGTGCACACTCTGGGGAGTGTGGTCCTCAGGAGCCTGAGTCCCCGCTCTGCCCTGATTCCTGCTGACCTCGGTGAGGGGCCTCTGCTCTCTGGCCCAGTTTGCTCAAAGTAAAACTGGAAGGGAGGGTGAGGTGTCTCCTTGCTCCTCCACTCAGCCATTCTTCTGGGATGATCTGGGCGCGCCAGCTGAATCTCATGGCAATGCAGGCCCCCGAGGACTCCAGGGGAGCAGAGCAAAGGGGTAAGGGCTGCCCAGCATGAGACCTACCTGAGCTGTGGCTTTGATGTCTTTCTTGACCAGGCCAGAGGTGAGGGACACACCACTCTCAGAGATGGCCCGGTGGAAGAGATTCTTGGCCAGGGGAGATAACACCTGGGAGGGGAGTGGAGACGAAGAGAGTTGAGGCTCACGGGGAGGGGTCTTCAAGAGCTTCCCTAGCTCCATCCTGGCCCATTCCCCTGGGCTCAGTGGACATAACAGGGCCCCGCCTGGCCAGTTCCCCAGGCTGACCCTGAGGCCCTGTTTCTGTAAGAAAACCTCAGCTGGTAAAAGCCAAGGGCACAGAGCGAGGAACACAACAGGAAGTGTGTGGCAAGCGCCTACTGTAACCATCAAAAGATCTGAAAGAGTTTGGCAATTCCTGGTAACACTTTCAAGACAGAGTTCTGAGTCTACATTTCCATTCCTAAGAACTCACCCTCAGGAAAGTGATCCTGGAGGCACACGATGACGTCTAGGGGTGCCCGTGCTGCTCATGATGGGGAATACGGGCAGTGACCCCAGGTTCCAACATGATGGCATTGAGTAAATAAGCTACTTTTTAATTCTTACCATGGAATACTATAAAAATAAAATTATGGGAGAGCACTTCATGGTTAGGAAAATATTTATGTTAGATTGTGATGTTAAGGATGTTTTTTTAATGTAAAAAATCATAGATAAATGATAGATAGATAGATAGATAGATAGATGGATGAAAGGGTGAGTCATCAAAAACAATACTAGAAAAATAAGTGTCACCATGTCCATGGTGACGATTCCTGGGTAATAACATTGTAGGTGACCTGCTTTTCTTCTTTGGGCCTATCTGTACCTCTCCTCTTTCTCCACTTCACAAAATATAAAAGCTTCCTCTGAGTATTTAACTATGAAAGCAAACGTGTTTAAAATATGGTAGCAGCACAGACACTCTGCTCAGCTGTGAGGCAGCTGGAGGGGTTCTGGCAGCTCCCAGCGCCTTCTCATCTGGTTCTCCGTCTTTGGTTCTCTCTGTGTCCTCTCTGGCCCCATCTCCCACACCAGGCTCCCAGGTGTGTCTGTGTTCCCTGTCCCATCCCCACCCTTACGCCACCCTCCCCTCCCCTCCCTCTCTCACTTGCTTCCCCCAGCCCAGCTCCCTCCTGCGTTCACACAGACTGCTGTCCTCCTTCGTGGGCGTGGACAAACCACAAGACCCCTGTTCTTAGTGAGTGCTCATGGCCTCCTGACATGTGGATCTGGCTTTAGGCCACACAGAGACACTCGGCCCAACTCTCACAGCTGCCTCCTCTTCTTCATAATTTATACCCACCCTGTTCCCCAGGAGAAGCGAGGAGAGTCCTCATGGAGAAGGGATTAGGAACTCAACCAAGCCAGGAGGAATGTTGCAGGCCGGGGCTGGAGATGATTATGGCCCCAGGATGCTAGCGGAGCCCTGAGCTCCCAGGGGAGAGTGGGGCCATTAGCTTTCCACTATCTGCTCTGTGCAGAGTAGGGCCAGCCTTGAACCCAGGTCTTGTTAATAAAGGTCAGCGGTTCTCCCAGGGAGCCCATCTGTACCCACATCGGCGCCAGAAACACTTACAAGAACAGAGACACTTTCACCTCCCGCAGACTCTCCGAAGATGGTCACGGAGCCTGGGTCCCCTCCGAAGTTGGCAATGTTCTCCTGGACCCAGCGCAGCGCAGCCAGCTGGTCTAAGTGACCCCAGTTGCCCCGGCTGTGTTCATCCCCTGTGCTGTGGGTAAGAGAACAGTGTGGGGCAGTGGTGGGCGGGTTAAAGTCATCATGGCAGGATTCCCAGGACCATAGCTTGGGCTGGGCTCTAGGTGAGCCCTCCACAGCCCAGACTCACAGGTGTAGCATTGTTTGTTTAGCTCTCCATTCATTCACCTGGCATGTACTTACTGAGTATCTGCTATGTTCTAAGAGCCTGAAGCAAAATAGGCAAAATCTCTAACTACACGGAGCTCACACTACAGATCATCAACAAATAAACAGGTACATATCTACTTATATAAAAACCCTGTGTTAAGTTCATCACGACTCGGTCTGGCGACCAAGCGGAAGGAAGTCAGTCCTGCAGGGTTGTCTTGGCAACGGCTGCAACCTCCCCGGAGATGTTTCCAGAAGCTGTTTCTGGTGAGGGTGGGGTATGAGGCAGGAACCTGCCCTCGGAACGTGGACTCACTGAATCCTGGGTCCGTTTGCCAAGGGCTGCACCCTCCCCAGCTGTTTCCCGTGTGGTCTGAGAGAAGAACCCTCCCTTAGAGCACCAGGAGCACCCAGCAGCAGTCAGTCCTGGGTTGCTTAGGTGGAGGCCACGGCGTGGTAAACTCTGGGTCTGGCCCAACAGGGGGCATGTCTGACCTTCAAATCAGACCCTGACAGTAGAAAGGAGGGAGCCCCATTCCTCACAGAATCCGGTGTTGGATAGCTTGCTGTCAGTGGCCTGCCAGCCAGGAACCCCATTCTTCTGCACCCCAACTCTGACAGGCGGGAGGAGGGAGCCCCTTTCCTCAGAATGAACAGGTGGCCAGGTTGCTGTCAGGGGCCTGTCAGCTAGCAATCCTATTCACCTGCACCCTGGCTCCTGACAGCAGGGAGGAGAGAATATGTTTAAAGACCAACTATTGGAACAAAGTACCTCTAAAGCCAAAAGAAGCCATTGTTGGCAACAGAATAGAGAGTTAGAAACACTGATGAGAGAGAAACATCGATCAGCTGCCTCCTGCACACTCCCCACTGGGGATGTGCCCACAACCAAGGTACATGCCCTTGACCAGAATCGAACCCAGGACCCTTGAGTCTGCAGGCCGATGCTCTATCCATTGAGCCAAACCGGTTAGGGCAATTAATTCCCTTTTAATGTGCACGACTTTCGTGTACCGGGCTACTAGTAAGAATATATTGCCGAACCGGTTTGGCTCAGTGGATAGAGCGTCGGCCTGTGGACTGAAAGGTCCCAGGTTCGATTCCGGTCAAGGGCATGTACCTGGGTTGTGGGCACATCCCTGGGGGGAGATGTGCAGGAGGCAGCTGATCGATGTTTCTCTTTCATCAATGTTTCTAACTCTCTATCCCTCTCCCTTCCTCTCTGTAAAAAATCAATAAAATATATTTAAAAAAAAAAAAAGAATATAACACCAGTTAGTGAAAATGCTCTCAGGGTAAAAAAAAAACAGGGTCAGGGAAAAGGCAGGGGTGGGGCAGTGGGGTCTTATTTCAGATCAGATGTCTAGGGAAGGCCTCTCGGAGGCAGCCGCATCTGAGTAGAGATCTGAATGAATGAGCACAAGAACCTTGCAAATATCCAAAGAAAGGAATTCCAGGTGACAGAGTTGGCAGTGCAAAGGCCCCGGGGTCCAGTGAACAAAAGTGTGAATGCAGAACATGCAGCCAAGAGAAGGAAGTATTTGAAAGAGGTGTGAGGGGTGATGTTTGGATGTTGCCAAGGTTGGGCCCAAAGCTGGTGGGTCATTGGAAACCTCCACCAGAACAGTCCAGTGGTGTGGTCTGAGTAGAAACCTGACTGGTGTGGAGAGAGGAAAGACTGGAAGGGAAGAAGGCAAGGAGAGCTGATGGAGCAGTTTTAATGTAACGGAGAGCAGAGAAATGGGCCGGGGGGGTAGGGGGCATGAAAGAGATGAAGAGTCTCAATGAAGGCGTTGCATGCTGGGACATGACTCCCCTATAACCCTCCTCCAGGCCTACAGGTCTTTCCAATGAGTGTCCACCCCACCTCCAAACTGGCCATCAGCCATCACAGGATCTAAAGTCCTGGGGCCAGTGCATTGAGAAAACCTACCAGTAACTTTGCCCTAAGGAACCCTGGCTCCTGTCTCCATAGAGACTCCATGGAGAAGATTCTAGCTTTGGCTCCTGCACATGCCAAATGCGGAAGCAAACGGGACGAGTGACACTGACATTCCTCCTGGGAGGGTTGGCCTTTGGAATCAGATGCTCTACCACCTCCCAGCTCCAGCCACACGTTCCCTCACCCAGAAGCATTCAGCAAGCTCCTGCCCAAGTCTGCCCTTCCCTCCTTTCCCATGAGAGGTGAGGTGTTAAACCTGCTGCTCTAACTGCTGTGATGCTGTCATTCCAGAAGTGTGCCGTGTGCTGTGGCAGCACAGGGAAAAAGGAAGTGAGCATTTCAGAGGCGGGAACGTTTGAGTTGGGCCTTATGGGATGCATAGGAGTGGGTCAAGTAGAACAGGCATTCCAGGCAGAGGGAACAGCGCATGCAAAAGCTCAGAAGCAGATGGACGAGTGTGGTAGGGATATGAGACGGTGTGTGGAGCCCAATTATGAAGGGATTTGGACGCCTTCCTGGGGAACTGACATGACATGACCAGAGCTGGGTCCTGCCACCCTCACTTCAAGGGCCCATGTGCTGTGCAGAGTCCAATATCTTACCTGAAGAATCCCCAGATGCCCAGGCGGTACTGAATGATCACCACCACCACGTTTTCATGGGCAGAGAGGGCCAGCCCATCATAGGTTGATGCCCCGCCTACCACCAGAGCACCTCCATGGATCCACACCATCACCTGAACAGGGAGGAAGCAACCACATAGGTCACAGATAGGAAGCAGAGCTGGGAAGGACCTCCAAGGGTTGTCTGGTTGATCTGGACTCAAGGAGGCTGTTCTCTGAAGCTCATCAGCCCCCAGCAAAGGTGGGGCAATCAATCGCTCTCCTCTCCACTCCCCCAGCTGGGGCCAGGCCACCCCCCACCCATGCACCTGGCTTCCCCCGCCATGTCTCTCCAGCCCCAGTGCTGCCTGCTCCCAAGGCTCTTCATGCTGAGAATAGCATCACAGGAAAGGCCAAGGCCAACGGGGTCATCTTCCCCCAAATACTCCCATCATCCTCATGCCTGGGCCCTCACTCACTCATCACACTCTGCCTGGGAAGCTCTTGGATTTCAGCGTCATTAGTCACCTCTGTGCGGTGAATTAAAGTCCTCTCGTGTGTGTGAATGACTATCTCAAGAAGCACCCATGCCCCCAGTGGTATCTCTTCCTCACATCCCTCCCTCTGCACCCCAGGGACTGCCCCCAGCTTACCCACCCCCTCACATCCCTCCCTCTGCACCCCAGGGACTGCCCCCAGCAGACCTACCCCCACCTTCTGGCTGCCCATCTCTGGGCCTCTGCGTATTGAGGAAATGTTGCCTCACTGGGACAGTGCCCCAGCCAAAGACAATGAGGAAGGGAAATTAGATCAAGAACATCTCAGATATTGAGGCAAAGACAAAGACAAAGGACACGGCTTCTTGGACTTCCCCCGGCTCTGCCTCCACACCTCTGTGCCACCCTGGGACACTGGTCAGAGCAGCATCTTTGCGGCTGACAAACACCACCCATTGTCTCGATTTTTCAGAGAACACTTGCCCTGGTCCTGCCAACCCGACTGGGTGGCCTCGCCTTCCCTGATTCTCTGTCTATAAAGGGAGGTTGGGGTGTTGCCATCTCGGTGAGGTTCCTTCTAGCTCTAACTTGACTGGAAAGCATGCCTTAGCTTCTCTGGCAATCAGATTCCTAACCTTGCAACTATCAGTAGTCACGCTTGTCCCTCTGTTCGCATGAGAGAACGTGGAAAGAACTGACGATAGGTTACAGATGTAAAGCAAAGTCCCCGGGAGGCACCATGACTATCGCCGGGGGAAACTGAGGGATGGAAAACATGTGTTTCCTGGAGTCACATGGCCTGGCCAGGGAGAGCAAAGGAAGCCCGGGGCCCCTGAAATAGCCGTGGCTGGGATACTCCCCCCTCTGCCCCCACCACACTGCCTTCCTCCTCCCCAGTCCACACCTGGAGATCTCTCTGACATGGAACGCACACCTTACCGGCAGCCTGCTCTTCCTCCTCAAGTCTGCGGGAGTGTAAATGTTTAGGTAAAGGCAGTCTTCAGAGAACTTGAGAGGAATGTTCTCCTTTCTGATGGAAAAGAGTTCTGAGAGAACCTGGGCTGACATGGCATCTTGGGAGCACCTGGGGTGTGGAGGGGCAGAGAAATATACTCAGGTTCAGCCGAAACTGCACACAGAGGCATGGCCTGGGAGCTCTGTGCCTGTGCAAAGCTGCTCTTACCAGAGATAAGACGTTGAGTGGGTAGGAAGCCATGAGCGGGGGCCCTGGGCCTCACTAAAGCCTTCCAGGATCATGTATAGCGAGAAGGCCTGGCTCCTCTCCTTGTCCTGGCAATTTCGGATGCACCAGATCAAGGACAGGAGGCTGCCTAGCTACTGCCCACCTGGGCCATGGTCGTCCTGCTCACCCTGGACACAGCCCGGCTCTGTGCTGGGCTCCCGTAGAGGGTGCAGTGGGGCCGTGCGCCTCCACCAGGTAACCCAGGTGGTTGATTCCACAGGAGACTCCCATTCACTCAAATGGCAGCAGGCGTGTGGGGCCTGTGACAGCTCAGGGGTCTAATATTTGCAGGGCGACATCAGGAGAACCTCCGCAGCCCCTGGTTTCCGAGGTGACCCTGAGTGAATCCCTTCCCTGCTCTGGGCCCTCATCTGCCAGGTCTGAGTGAGGGGAGTGGTTTCTGGAAGAGTCTTGCACCCCTGACATGCTAAGTGTCTATTACCAACCCATCCGTCCCAGGCAAGTGCTGTTGCTTGCCCTAATAACAGATTGTGAGCAGCCGGCACAGATGACAATGGGTAAGTCCTCCCAGTGAATCAGGCATTCACTACTCCTTGTGACCAGGTAACTAGACACACCTGGGAACTGAGAACTTGCCAGCTCCACACCCCAAAGCACTCCCACCCACACACCTGCTGGCTCACCCCACTCTCCAAATATAGCGAAGTCCAAGTCAGGAGAATAAAGAGTCAGTACCTCTGATTCCCATTAGCAGCTTAATTTAAAAAAATTTTTTTTCCAAAGTACATATCCTATTCTAACATATTACATAATGTATGTATTAATTTGCATATTGTTATCATCTATCTCTCCCAGCTGGAGCACAAGCTCCATGAAGGTAGGAATATCTGTTTCCTTCACTAATGGAGCCCAGGAACGTAGAACATGCCTGGCACACAGAAGGTGCTCAATAAACACTTGTTGGATAAAAGGCTCTAGCATGCTGTGGGAGTTCGGGAATTTGTTCTTGTTGTTTATAAATATATTTTAATTGATTTCAGAAGGAGGGAAGAGGAAGAGACAGATAGAAACATCAAGGATGAGAGATAATCATTGATCAGCTGCCTCGTGCACACCCCCTACTGGGGATTGAGCCCATAACTCGGGCATGTGCCCTGACCCGGAATCAAACTGTGAGTTCCTGGTTCATAGGTTAATGCTCAACCATGAGCCACGCGGGCTGGGCTGGAATGGTTTTAAGGATCTACCGTATCTTAAGGATCCAGAACAATGGAGAAGGCACTCAAAGGTGTGCCTTGGCACTTGCCCGCATGCCTTTGAGGCAAAGGTTCTACTAAAAGATGGCAACACTTACATAGGAGGGTAGGAGGTGGTGTTCTTCACGAAGGTCCATGGCTCTGCAGGCTGTGGAGGAGCAAACCTCAGGGGTCCGAGCGGCGGCTTGGCAAAGGGGACTCCCAGGAAAACGGCCACGGGCTGTGCAAAGCCTTCTAGGCTGACATACTCCCCCAGGACCTGGCCCTGCATGGTGTCCACCACAGGGGGCGAAGGTGGGTGCCCTGTGGGTGTGGAGAGGAAATGAGGACAGGCCCAAGGTGAGAGGTTGGAACTGGACTCCAGGTGGGTCTTGCCCCAGGTGACCCTGAAAGTGTCCCCTCAACTCCTAGGCCTCCATTTCTTCTTACGTCAAAAAGAGAGGAGGTGAACCGGCCTTCCTAACTCATAGGGTCCTAAGGAGCCCGTGGGAATTGGAGGAATCACAGCATCAAGTACAACATCAATGCAAGGAGAGCTGCTGGGCACGAACAAGACATATGGTTTCCATGCTTAGGAGCCTCTGGAAACCATTTCCATTGAGGTGCTGGTGCTGAGCTGCAGGAGCAAAGGGGGAGCAACAGGCAGCCCCTCTTCTTAGCACCCTGGTCCTTGTAGGGGAAATGAGCCACATACACACTGGACCCTACTGCTGGGAAGGAAGAAGGAAGGGGTGGGTGTCATGAGAGAGGTATCCGTTAGGTGTTACAGGAGCAGAAGAGGGAGCAAGGCCTTCTGATTGGAGGCCTCATGGAGGCAGTGCCCTTGGTGCTAGGACTTGTGGGGAAGACTGAACAAGGGGAGATGGAAAGGGGCGGGGTGGGGTGGGGGTGGGGGAGAGACACCACAAGGCAAGACCTGCCCGAAGAAGAGAGAATGACTCATTGGGCCAGAGCGATCTAAGGGGAGTGGAAAATTATCCTGGAATGAGAAGCTTCATGTCTGCCAGGGCCTCGGGTGCCGGGCTAGGGGTCTGGGCTTTACGCAGTGGGTCCATGAGCAGAGCAGCCGTGAATATTCTGGAGAACGAGAGAGCGGCACAGTCGGCGTGACGAGGTTATAGTGGCTCTGAGCAGGGACACCGAGCGGGGAGAGTCCGTCCTCACTGGGCTGAATTCACCTCCTGCAGCCTCCGTATCAGCCCTGGTTCTACCTGCCATGGACCATCCTGAACTCGCAGCCAGGATGGGCCCTTCCTCCCATCTCCTCTTGCCCATCCCCGCAGCCCCAGTGCGTTCAAACATTCCCCTTTGGAAGTGGTTCCTAGCCTCTCAGCCTCCAATGGCTCCCCTGCAGGTCCTGACAAAAGGCCAACATCTCCCTCAAAGTGTGTGGCCAGAACAACAGCAACAACAACAAAAAGAGTAAATCAAATCCGGACTTAGAAAACTCCCCAGTGACACTGGAGACACTGTTATGCAAAGGCATGTTACACACAGCACCCACCTCTCTGGTCATGAATAGCCAATCCCGTATTAGTGGGCCGTTTAGGATGTTCTCCTTGGTTGTGGTGGCTAATGATTACAATGGGCATCGAGATGGACTTCCTTGGAAGCGTGAGCCTCAAGCTATAAATACAGTGATGTCTATGAGGAATGTTGCAGAAGGGCGTGGCCCCTGACCCGATGTGGGGGACATAGAAGGGAAAGAAGATGAAAGAGCTGCTCTGACCCCGAGTTCCATTTCAGACAGGTGTAGGGGAGAAGTCAATGAAATATTGGGTGAGAAGACACCACAGGAAGTGAGCCCTTTAAGACCGGAGGAGGCCAGGTGAGCGGGCCGAGTAGAATCATCTCCCTGAAGGTGATGATGTGTGTGATGTCACTGAGGAGGCCAGTGGGAGAGAGAAGAGAAAACGCTGCAGAGAACGCACAGGGGAAGCTGTGGCTGAGACTGAGTGGCGGGAGGCGGGCACCGTGGTGGGTGCAGGGTGGAGGTGAGAGCGTGGAGGCCACGAGGGAAAGGGTGCCACGCATGCCGAGTGCTTCAAAGAGGGGAAGGAGGGTGACGTCTGAGAAGAAACCAGACTTGATAAGAGCCTGGCCTTTAGGAAGTCAATGATAACCTTCAAGAGACATGAAGAGCCCAGTAGCCCAATTGGCCAGGGTGAAAAAGAGGGTGATTGGGTTGGGAGACCTACACAGTAATGGTAACAGTGGCAGTTCCCACGTATGTTATAGGTCATGTTTACATGTTGGGCATTTCCTGTGTATCAGATGGGCATCCTGGTGCACTGAATCTTCCCCAGAGCCTTGCCAGGTAGGTAGTAGTCTGACCATTTTACAGATGAGAACACGGAGGAAATGGAGGCAGCCACAAATGGGCTTTCTAAAGAGGGAAACGGGATAGCCTTGCCAGGAGGTGGCAGCAGTGAGGGAATGCTCCACTCCTAACTTGGCTCCTTTCTTACTCTGCCCTGACACTCAGTTTTGGGCCTCTCGGAGTGCATGCCACCAGGAAGAAAGAAAGTCTAGATGGGGCCTGGGCTGTCAGGAAGGAAGAAGGAAGAAGGAAGGAGGTGGATGTCATGAGAGGCCCCATGAAGAAACTGTATTTTCTTTAATCTGGCCTTTATTTTCTTTTAATATATTTAAATATAGTTTTATTGATTTCAGAGAGGAAGGGAGAGAAAAACATCATTGATGATAGGGAATAACTGATCAGCTGCCTCCTACACACCCCTCACTGGGGATCAAGCCCGCAACCTGGGCATGTGCCCTTGACTGGGATCGAACCCAGGATCCTTCAGTCCACAGGCCGATGCTCTATCCACTGAGCCAAACTGGCTAGGGCTGGACTTTTTTTTTTCCTTTGATTCTAACTGGCCTTACCCAGCACCCTGACTCATTCAACTTCCCTCTCCCTTGCTTGATCATATAGCCCAAGCATGTCAAACTCATGACTGATGGGCTGTGAGTTGGACATGTTTGATGTAGCCCTCAGGACTACTGGTCAGCATCCAGCAGTCTTAGGAACAAATCTTCACCATGTCTTTTATTTTCTGTTCTGATACATTGACTGACATCCCAGGTATGGCTGACTCTGGAGGGACTGCCCCTGCTCCCCTTAGAGTGAACCAATTCCTAGAGATAGTCATCAAATTGCCCTTCTAGCATGCCAGAGTCTGTACCCCTGCCCCCCTACCTCAACAGCTTCTTTCTCAAGCTACCACGCCCCAGCCACTATCTTCCTGCCCTAATTACTCCAGGGCCAGATCCCTGCCAACCTGCCAACTGCCACTGAAATTGGCTATTTGCATAGCTTGCCCTGACCTGCAACCACCATCAAGACTCTTGTCACACTCCCTACCTCCTCCCTCCATCTTGGGACCTACCCGCTGCTTCACCTTGAGGCCATCATGGTGGTGGGCCCCCTCTGCCTTTGGAAACTGGGAGTAACAACCTATTTTCTCAATGAAGTGGCTCCTGATCTGCTGGCCCTCCAGCAGTTTCTATTAATACAGGACACTTTTTTTATTTTTATTTTTTGGTGCCCTTGGCCGAACCTGGGACCCTTCAGTCCACAGGCCAATGCTCTATCCACTGAGCCAAACCAGTCAGGGCAATACAGGACACTTTAAAACAACCCCTTTATTTAAGGATTCTTCCGTGGCACTTCCTCCAACCCCAAAGAATCAACCCATTTCATCCTCAGGAGAACCCCCCTGTCCCCCCATCCCCAGGGAGGTGTAACATCATCACACATTTTAGAGAAGGAGGTGCCCTAAGGACACACACGCCCGTGGAGTCGATGTTAATATGCTGCTAAGCCGCTCTCCACGATTTGGCCACATCTGGACCGATAAGCAGGGGAAATAAACAAGCTCCTGCAGGTCCTCGTCCACAGGGGTGAGGTGAGCGGTGGTCCGTCTCCACGGCTCCTCACCCCTGGGTCTGCTGCAGACTCGGGGATGGCACTCCCATCACGCTGTTTGGGAACCGCACCTGTCATGGGTTTGCCCAGTACGCAGCTCCCCCACCTCACACCAGACACGGATTTCCAAATATGCCCCCTCCCCCTGCTATTTGCATTTCAGAAGGACTCACCCCAAACTGTGCAAGCGGCCAGGGAACCCAGGACCAGAGCCAAGAAACCCATCCTGGGAGGACAGCAGCTCCAGGGCCACAGCTCTCTGTCTCCTTGCAAGTGCCTCTGCCTCCAGGGGCTGTGACCTTTGCCCCTCAGCTCCCTGTCATCAGCTCCCGCCCCACTGCCGCCCTATGGCCTCATCAGGAAGCAACACAGAAGCTCCTGGTCTCCCAAAGGGCTGCTCAGGGCACAGCCAGGGCCTCCAGGCCACGCCCACCCAGAGTTGACCCTCTTTCCCCTAAACAGCCTGGACACAGCTCTCAGGTTACCTGATTGTCAAACAACTTGTTACATAAGGGTTTCTCCCTTGGACACTTCAACCTTAGCAGGCAGTGAGCTTCCCAAGGCAGCAGACAAGGGGAGGCGGTGGTCTCAGAACTAGGCTGCAAACTTTGTGAGCAACTCTCAGCCCCACAGCTGCTCAACTGGGGAATTTAGGACAAATCTCTTAGCTTCCCATGTGGTGTGTGTGTGTTGGGGGGGAGGTCAGTCCCCAGAGGTAACTGCTTCTATAAAGATTGCCCTGGCCCGAGCCAGTTTGGCTCAGTGGATAGAGTGTCATCCTGCAGAGTGAAGGGTCCCAGGTTTGACTCTGGTCAAGGGCACATACTCAGGTACCTCTGGTCAGGCTCGGAGGCAGGGGGCAACCAATCTGTGTGTTTCTCTCACATCGATATTTCTTTCCCTCTCACTTCCACTCTCTTTAAATATCAATAGAAAAATATCCCTGGTTGAGGATTTAAAAAAAAATTTAAAAAAAAAAATTGCCCTGGGGTGCGGTTCCTTACTTTATCAAAGAAAAAAACACGGGTCATGAAGCGCACCCGGATAAAGAGCACCCATATCTCTACCCACATGGGACAATCTGTGTTGTCCTCTAAGCAGAGGCTATTTCTAATCACCACCACACACACACACATACACACACACACACACACACACACGCACACACACGCACACACACGCACGCACGGGCCTTTGCAATCTGGGAACACCACCTGGCTGCTAGCCTCTGAAGACTGTAGGGTGTTGTATCAGCATCTTCAGAGCCCCAGGGTGAATTATTCTTCTGGTCCCACTGTTCAGCCACACCAGGGACACCAACCCGTTCTGCAGGGGCAGCCACCTCCAGACCTCGCCCCGTTCCCGCCTGGCTCAGAGTTATCTGCAGAAGGGATGGGTGAGGCTGGAGTCTGAAGCCAGACCTCAGCGTGGCTCACATGCATAAGCCCCCTGCCTCACATGAACGAGATGCAGTGTTTCTTGTGTCAGTGGGAGGCGGCTGGGAACACAGCTTTCCCTTGGGAGCTCCCTCAGGTTTCCCGTGTGCAAATGGATTATCTGGAGAGTAAAATCCTAGGAATTTTCCTTAACTCCTAAGCAGCTGGTCAAGTCTTAGGAGAGAAGACACCCCCTAACCCCTCTATGTCCATCAATTTACTCAACAGATATATGGTGAGCATGCACTCAAGCAGCACTGGACAACTGTGCCCTTCACTTGGCTTTGCCCTTCACTTGGTTTGCCCACTAATCATGGCATGAATCGGCATAGGCTTTGTGGTGGAGAACACGGCACAGGCAGACCAGGAGTTGGGGGGCCCACTGGGTGACCCTGGGGGTCCCTTTCTGGAGAAAGAGAGGCAGTGGGTGGCTCCTGTACCATCCACTCCAAACCAAAATTCTGTGGATCTAGAATTCTGTGACATTTTTCTGGAACCTCAGTTATTTTCATATTAACATCCGTTTTCTGCCATGTCAGCTCACCATCTGTACTATTGTAAGCAATTTCCCTCCAGTGTCTTTTACTTTAAACACACTCACTCAACAAGAAAATGTTACATAATGGCCATACGTGGAAGACCTGGATGACTTTCCACAAATAAAGGTGAGCACGGAAGGTGTGTCACTGCATTTTAAAAAAGTAAAATGTTGGCAAACATAAAAAGTGAATAATAAGTAATAATACCGCTAATTGATTTACAAAAGTGCAGACCCGAAAATAAGTTCCCCAATGGGTAAAGTGGACGGTGGGTGGTCAGTAACATCAGGGCAGGGACATCTTGTCCACCACCATGACCACAAGTTAGGGGACCAGGCACCAGCTTGATCAAGGGTCACCCTTAAGGCAGCCAATTCACTGAGCCTCAGAGAACCTCTCCTTGTTGACACTCAGATCACTGGGCACAAATCACATTAAGTTCTCCAATCTCAATGACCTTGAGGCTGCGTTGTAATTAGGTGGTGACCCCCAGGGGTCAACCTGGTCCTAGGACCTATGGGGACAGAGCAGGTGTGGGAAATTTTAGCCTGGGGGTGGGTCCCGGAGAGGAGAGCTGCACCCCCTCCCCCATGGACATAGATGGTCATCTGACATGGCACAAACCACTGGCAGTGGGGCCGCCGCCAGCAGGCAGGCAGTAGGGCCTCCTAGTTTAGCTCCTGCTGAGTAAGCATGCATTGTGAAATCAGGGTAAATGATGGTGCGAGAGTCCCAGAATCTCAGAGGTTGGTTTCTTGCTTATGAAAAGGACTGGGGTGCCGTTGTTCTCCACAGGGTCCCTCAGGGACCTACCAGGGGGTCGGCAAACATTTCCTGTAAAGAGCCAGCTAGTAGGCATTTTAGACTTTTGGGGTCATAGGGTCTCTGTGGCAACTACTCAACTCTGGTAGCAAAAGCCTCATAGGCACCCCCCAGGGAAGTAGGCATGGCTGTGTCTCAATAAAACTGTATTTTAAAAATAGGTGCTGGGCTGGATTTCGGGCATGGGTCAGAGGTTACTGATCCCTGATCTACGTGGCGTGGCTTTGCCACCCTTACCTCATGGTTTCGCATGTTTCCTCTCTGCTCCTCCAAACCTTGTCACCTCTTAATTCCCAGGACAACCAGGAGAAGGCGTGGACAGTTTGGGGCACTGGTGCGCTCTGGCAATCCTCGGGGTAAGAAAACACACAAAACGCTTTTTAGTGTGAGGTCGCTGTATTCGCCCAGATGTCTGTAAGACAATCTACAACAATTTGAGTTTGCTGAGCCCTTTCCAGAATATAGTTCAATCTTAACTTTTCTGGGCCAAATTTGTACATGTTTTTCTGATTTACTCTTTCTCTTCTTCTTATTCTTGAAAGGCTGAAGGAAACTCTTAAGAGAGCAGTTCTAGCAAGCAGGGACTGAGTCTACAATCAGGCTCTTATCATTGAAGGCAAAGAAGTACAAAAGTTCAGTGTTCAGCAAAGTGGAGTACATTTATTCCTGGAGTTATGCAAAGTTATTTAAGACGGTGTGTGAACACACTTAAAGCATTTATGTAATGGTTATGTATTGACTTTGCTGTGTACTAGAAAACAAAATCCCTAATATCAAAGTCCGTGATTGAATGGATATTACTTATGGCAGGAAATTGCTAGCTGTCCATTAAAACCCATCCCGCACGGGGAGGTGAACACGCAATGCAGGGTACAGATGATGTGTTGTAGGATTGTGCACCTGAAACCTGTATCAGTTTGTTAACCAGTGTCACCCCAGTAAATTCAATGGAAAGGGAAAAATGTAGAAACCCATAGAACACTGTTTTTAAATGTTCATTTAAAAAGGTTCTCCACTTCCTAATAAAGAAGGATCGAGCACTTGCATTTATTTCCACTCCGTCCCCAAATTCTTCTTCAAGGACATGAAATAGTCTTGAAAGGCACACGCCGCCATGTACCAACAGAATGGCTGAGGGGACGAAGGTAAAAGCAGGATGAAGCTGTGAGAGGCCAGAGCAATGACCACTATTTGCTGAGCAGAGAAAGTGGAAGTTGACGCATGGGGAGGAGGGAGTCCAGGACAAAGGGATTCAACATGGAGAAGTTTCTGGAAGTGGGGGTGCAGAGATCCCCATGTGTGCACCTGGGGAGTGCAGCTCTCTGCCCTGAGGCCCAGCCCCAGGGCAGTGTTCCCACAGGGGCTCGGTCTCTGCCAGTCCTGGAACTGAACTGAACCCAGGGAACCCAATCGCCTGATTACAACAGCGATCAGAAGCCTTGACAGTAGCAACATAATATGATTTCTGCCCAGAAATCTGAGGGTCAAAAGGAGGCAGTGTCCTGAAGCTCAAGAAATGGCTGCAGTAACAGTGACCCCTGGTGACGCCAATGCCTGGTCACCTCCCTCCTCGTGGTCCTGAGGGTGGACTGCCGGGGTTCTTGTCCCAGCATCAAGAAGGGTTCAGGAATCTGGAGGAGGCTGTGTGCAGATGACATAGAAATCCAGAGACTAACAAAGAGTCCGGAGACGAAAGATAATTTAGAAAGGCATTGGGGGTCAGAGGACCTTCAGCTAAAGGAACTGAAGACTCCCTCCTTGTCTAGGACCCTTGCTTTTTATTAACACAATTTGTCCTAAGGCAAGGCGGAGATAATACACTTCAAAGGGTAAGGTTTCAAAGGGTACAGAAGCATTGTCAGTTTGGGGAATAGCCTACAGCTGTACAGGTGTTTGGCCAGTAGGAGGCAATAACATGTAGATTAAGATGCCTTTTAACTGTCTGGCAGCCAAGCAACCAATTTAATGTATCCTATTCAGGTTTGGGGAAATGCCTTTAGCCATTCCCAACAGGTGACTACATGTGTGACTCAACCCTGTTGAGTCCCCAAGTCTCATCAACCTTTTGATGAAACTCTTGAAATTATGACATGCTGGAATTGGTCTACGGCAGTGGACAACGTTGTCCCTGCCCTTGTATTACCAAGTGATCTTCCATGACCCTCTCTTCCTATCAAGTAACTTGTTCTGTGGAATGCAATTTTGTAAATAAATTATTATACTTAACCAAACGAAGCAAGGAAATATCCAGTCATTAATAAGAATAAACGTGTCGTAGTCCTCTGAAAATACCAAAGTACTGACAACAACACGGAGCAGCCGGAAATCTCTTAGTCTGCTGGTAAGGAGGGCACATTTGTGTAACCATTTCAGGAAACTTTGGGTGTGCTGAATAAAGTTGCCATAGGCAACCGCCTGGGACCCACAAAAGCCAGTGGTAGATAAAGATCCAAAAGA